CTGCTGCTGCTGTTGTGGTTGTTGTAGTAGTAGTAGTAGTAGTAGTAGTTGTTGTTGTTGTTGTTGTTGTTGTTATTGTTGTCGCTGTCGCTGTCGCTGTTGCTGTTGCTGTTGCAGTTGTTGTTGCTGCTGCTGCTGCTGTTGTTGTTGTGGTGGTGGTGGTGGTGGTAGTGGTTGTTGTGGTTGTTGTGGTGGTTGTCGTTGTGGTTGTGGTTGTGGTGGTGGTGGTGGTGGTGGTGGTGGTGGTGGTGGTTGTTGTAGTCGTCGTCGCCGTCGTCGTTGTTATTGTTCTTGTTATTCTTTTTGTGGTTGTTGTTGTTGTTGTTGCTGCTGCTGTTGCTGCTGTTGCTGTTGCTGTTGCTGTTGCTGCTGCTGCTGCTGCTGCTGCTGCTGCTTCTGTTGCTGCTGCTGCTGTTGTGGTTGTTGTTGTTGTTGTTAAGCCCTGACAAAAATCTAAGGGTTGTCCGCGGACTTGACCTTGTGCTCTCCATTTGTATGCATTTTCATGAGAGCAGGGGGCACAGGCCCATGGTGGTACCTGTGCCAACGGAGCTATCCACCATGGGAGAAGCGGAGATGAACCACCTCCGTGTACCTGCCAAGGAGTGATATGTCTTCATCTATTGCTATGCTGTATAGTTCCGGATTTTTGCTTTCCCACTAGTGCCCTGTAGTTATTCTAGCTCTATTTGAAGCTGCTTTTGGAGCGCTGACGCATGACCGCAGAGGTGAGAGCGACAATCCTTTGAGCAGTCATGCAACATGTGCAAGCCAACCGAAATCCATGCGTAAGCTTTCCAGTGGTACTCTGAACCGTTTACCATGCGCAAGCCCTGAGTTTACAGAAACAGACTACATGCAGCTCAACATGGACCCCGCACCTGGCATTGGCAAAAGGATGCACTAGCATGCGAAGAAGTTGTGGAACATTCCTCCATGTTGTTGTTTTTGTTGGTGTCGTCGTTGCCGATGTCGTTCTTGCTGTGGTTGTGGTTGCTATGGTTGTTGTTGTTGTTGTTGCTGCTGCCGCCGCCGCTGCTACTGGCGCGCCTGCTGCTGCTGCTGCTGCTGCTGCTGCTGCTGCTGTGGGTGCTGCTGCGGGTGTTGTTGTTGCTGTTGTCTTCTTGTTCTTTATAATGAAGGCCGATTTTTCTTTTGATGCTAATACTGGTTTCGATTGTGTTGGCACTGTCATTCTTTTTATCGTTCATGGCCGGGTGTTGTGTTACCGCTCTGCCATTGCCGACCCAGGCCACGCGCTTGACCCTTCGCGACATGCAGTTGAATGGCATTGTGACCAATCAGACGCGCGAGCTTGCCATCGACTTTGTTGCCTACAACGGCAACATAGACGCTCGTCACAGATTCGTAGGATAGATAGGTTCATACGCAAAAGAATGCAGCAAGAAAGTGGACGGAAAACGTATCAGGCAAGCAAGACAGACAATTGGACCACTCAAGAAGCAAGGCATACGCATTCGGATTTGCCTTGCATGGAAAAAAAAACTGGAAAATGAAATTGAAACAACGTATGAGATTGGGGTTGGAAAAACTGAGGATCGGAAAACAAAATCGAGAATAAATCCATCTGATCCTGGGTTAGGGGTATGTAGGGGTTATACAGGGATTGAACGCAGGGGCGTGTTTAAGTAGGATGGGGTTTCGGGGTATATGATGCAATATTTATAAGAGGTTACCAGGATTATAGTGGTAATGATCCCCGTCAGTATTGAGGCTTCCTTCATGACACCCTAAGGGTCCAAGTACTTGCATGGGTTCTTCCAAGAATCGGGGATATTTCCGCGGGGTTCTTATCAAAGAGCCATTTTTTGGATGACCCGAAAATGAAAGATTTGGCCTAAATAGGTTCCCACATAGGTGCTTATGGGTTTGAGGGCTTCCAAATATTTAGGGCACTTTGGTCACCTTTTGGAAGGCCCTTAGGATAAGCAGTACAATATATTGGGGTCATACTTATAACCCCCCATAGAGAAACATCTTATGTTTTTTCCATGTGGGATATGTCTTTTCCATGTCATGTGAGTTTCCATTTGATTCTCCACGACTCCTAAACCCTGAGCCCAGAGTTGATCCCCTGAGGACGCCTTCTTCTATGTTGCAGTGGTCTTTCAATTCACGACTAGTGGTTTCGTCGAGAAGGCACGAATTGTTTGATCAATTTGAGTGCTCCTGCGCTGTAACATGGCGACGGCTCACAGGGTTTAGGGTATATGTCGGGGTTATATAGGGATAACGGCAAAGAAAATGGAAACTACTATAATGAGATTATATAGGGAGAACGGAAAAGAAAATGGAAACTACTACAATGGGTTACATAGGCTTAGGGTTTAGAGTGCAGACGCTCAAGGGTTCGTCAGTTCTTAGTTCTCATCAGGAAAGGCCAACAATGTCAGAGGCATCATGCCTGCGTAGCCAGCAGGATTACCACGTAGTTTAGGGTTCAGGGTAAGCATCACCATCATCAGTGTGCAAGCTTTCTGTATTCCTAGGGTCCCCAGAGCATTACATTTTCCGAACCACCACGAAAACCTAAGACAGCTCTTGGAATTCGATTCTCTTGGCGGCTCCTGATGGCTAGTAGTCCCTTAGCTTCTTGAATACGGGAGTATAGTCCCCACATAAACCCGGGGTTAGTAGGGAATAAGGGAATATATTACATAAAGTTTGTATAGGAATTATATTCCTTTATTCCCTACCAACCGCCAGTAAGTGAACCCTAAACCCTGAACTCCAAACCCTACCCCCCCAAGAGACCCTAAGGATCCTAATTGTCAAGGTAGCCAGCATTGCAGGGGAATATCTACTGGGTACTTCCCCACTTTGTGAGAGTTGTCAGGGTTTGGGGTATAGGGGAGTTATTTCTAATACAATAATGCATAGCCCAAAACATGTCCCCGAATATAGTATCTAGTACTAGGAGTTGTTTCATACGGCGGAGAGGATTATGCAGCCTAGGCTTGTAGTTTGGAGGCGATTCCACTGCTGGTGACCACATGGCTGACAGCTAGGAAGTCGATGGGAACCCTAAGCTCTAAGCCTTAAAACCCTTGGCCCCTAAAGTCTATACTCCCAGTATCCCCCTTAATCGCCCCTATAATACTCCCTTATATAACCACCTTCAAGGAGCTTAGATACTAGCTCATATCCTACCCTAAACCCTATCCCTAAACCCTAAACCCTAAACCCTAAACCCCTATATCCTGTATCCTGAGTCTTGGAGGACATACACGTGGATACCATTAAGCTACCAGACATCCGCAGTGGCATGTTCGCCTTGCGCCTTTTCCTCGAGATTGTGCCGGCCCCAGATGCGAAGGAGTCGAAACTTCTTAAAGCCGGGGTTACATAGGGGGTTTATGTGGGGGCCCTGAGCCTTAGACCCTAACCCAAGGTCGGTTGAGGGTTTAAGGGGGATACTATGAGTTGAGATTATATCTCAGATGGGGACTTCGGATCTGTATGGCCCCGTTTTCTTATGCTCTCTATAAGGATGATGACTTTGTTTTAGTACATACCTTTAGGGTGTAGGGTTTCAGTGCTAGGCAGGAAAGCGCTCAAGGCAACAAGCAGGATAATACCTCATCTTGCCGATGCTGTTAGGGACGAGGCTACGGTTTCGTAAGAAGGCCGCGCACTGAAGGCGACCCTGCTCTAAAGCCTAAACCCTGAAAACTGTAAAATCGTTAGACCTGAACCCAAATCCTGCACCCTAAATCCTAAACCCTAAAGCGCAAGCCCTAAGCCCTCGGACAGAAAAGGACCGCTACAAAAAAAGAGCCCCTAAACCCCAAAACCCAAATTGTAATTTCCCAAAATGGGGGGCCCCAATATAGACCCCAAAATACTATGATCCTTATTATAGGGACCCCCAAAAAGGTACCGCTAATTTTGAGAAACCCTCAAACCCCTAAACCCTAAACCCTATAATATAACCCCTATACAACCCCTCCCTAATTTTGGGAAACCTCCAAATCCTAAACGCAGGTCGTGATCGTCTTTACAATCTCCCGACTGGCCCTGGCTCTGAGGGGGGTATACAGGCCGGTTTAGGGTTAAGGTTTAGGGTTTGGGGGGGGTTAGGTGGGGCGTAGGGTTTCGCGCACCTTTAAAGGCATTATGTAGGGACTACACAAGATATGTAGGGATTGTGCAGGAATATATAGGGTTTAGGGCTAATGGAGAATCAAATGAGAAACAACATCAAACATGACATTGAAACGATGCAGGTGCTGGGTGTAGGGGTTATGGTTGGAAAAATGAAGAATCAGATGGAACACGAAAAAGATTCAATGCGCACTGGCTTTACATGGCTTTACATAGGGGTTTACATGCAGGGGCCTGAGTAATTAGAATGGTTGTGCTACAGCTCTATAAGAGTTACAAGGGGATGCTGTTTCGAGCGTTCTTGAGGCTTTGACATTAGTGTATGAGGGTGGAGGTTGTTGGCCGGAATTTCCACCGCAGAGCCTGCAAAGTGCATCTTGTGACTTCTAGAGCCTGTGTATGCAGCTGCTGAGAGAGAAAGCAGACTATCAACCGATCTATCAATGCAGCAGCTCATCAGGTGTCGATCTTTGCGTGTGTCACTGTTAGCGCGCGCCCCCCCCCCTCCCCTGCAAATCCATCAAACAAAGTTATCCCACATCATTCAAAGAAGCGATACTGTTGCTGACGAAGCATATGAAGTAGGGGTTTTGCTTATGTTTTTTGGTGAGCATATATAGGCTCATTAGGAGTAGTTGGTGCAGGTGCATATTGGGTGTCCAATTGAGGAGACCAGGAATATAGGGTTTATATTGGGGTTATATAGGGTTTATATAGGGTTTATATTGGGGTTATATAGGGTCTATATAGGGTTTATATTGGGGTTATATAGGGGTTATATTGGGGTTATATAGGGGTCATATCACTGACGTCGCTGCCTTTCAATGCTCTTTTTTTGCCTCATGCTCGGTGCTCAAAATTATCATGGCCCCTCTGTGCCTGACTGGTGCTGCTTCCCCGCTCTTGCCGGACAAAGCCCTCACTTTGTGATTGCCGTGTTGCCGTGCTGGCAATTGCTCTGACCGGTCGTCCTATCCTACCTTTTCATTCCAATATTGTTTTGTGGTTTAACTGCCTCATCGTGATGATACATAAATATCATCAAGACTTGTGAGCGAATTTTACCTGCAATCCAAAAGCAGCATCATCACGAGGCATATGTGCCCACAATTTGAGTGTCGTTGAATGCTCCAAAACATTCCCAAACCCGAACCTTGAAAAGCTGTAAAGGTCTTGTTGAAAAGTTACGTGTATATACCCTGCAATCCATGCCTATGCATCCCTTTGCATCTCCATATGCCCCTGTATACTCCCTAGAAAGCCCCTTTGCCGCAAACCTTGTTGGCACTGCAAACCCTAGATCCTAGAACCCTGAAACCCTAAACCCCCAAAACGTTAGACCTTAAACTTAAACTTAAGAGCCTCCGGCTCAGTCCGCCGACCCAGAGGCGGAGAAAGCACGAAAGCCTAAACGCGAAACCTTGAGGGTTTTCAGCGGCTGGCACGAGACCAATAGATAGGCGCAACAAAACTCGTCCAA